AATGCCTGCATGTACGTGTGTGTATGCTTGCATGAGGAATAGTGGCATTTAGACGCGTCGCATTAGCTGGAGAAAGTAGCCTCACTTCTATTTTGACCCTTTTTCCTCATTTTCTTTCAACTATTCTTCTGTATTGCGACTGACCTCAAGTCTCGCTTGGTGACTTACCGGGCGAGTTCGCTCTCGTGGATAAAACGTTTGCATAACCTATGACCGTATTCCAAGGGTCTTCGCAAACATCGACTTGGCGATAATATCGTCAAGGCGTTACTGGGAGATGTCCATTCGTCCGACGGGTTAAAGCAACACAAACCGACTGACCGGGTGTTATCATCCTCCTGCTTACCACTCTTCGGTAATAGTTTGTGCAATCCCCCACGCTTTGGGATGACATAACCTCGGGTCAGCGGTCGTAATATCGCCTCTGCAACCTGGGAAATCTGCGGTTTCCACGAAAACAGCCAACTTTGCCTACGTGCATGTAGGCGAACCTGCGCATTAACGATGAAATAGGGCAGGTCCAGCTGTGTCTGGGCTTTATGCTGTAGAAGCCGTATTATGCATACTACTTTCGGGCATATGCTGGTTGCACCCATGTCCCACCACCACAAGAACCATGGGAACGAGCCGAAGATCAGGCATTAGAATGGCCAAAAAATCTCCACTTGTCCACCCTCGTGGGTGCGACGATGGATTCGCAGACTGGCTTTCAGCATTTTCAACCGGCCAGTTCACCAGTCATTTCGCAGCCTCGTCGGCTTGACGATAAAATGTGCCCAGTTGTTTGCCAGGTGAAGTGCTGACTGCCTTTCTCTATTTGCACAAATGTGTTAAGTGATCACAATTTTCACGGCAACCCAGTGATAGTGCCTAAGAGGTCGGCTTCGTGAGCTTCTCCCGCCTAGACTTCAAGCATCGAGAACCTATAAACATGGGCTTAGATCATTGGATCTCAACTGACCTCCTCGTCATCAGGCATGCTTGCAATTTTGCCCTACCAGCCGTCCAGTCCTCTTCTCTGTGATAATCATTGTTCACAGACAATACGCTTTTTGATATGGCTGGATCGCAACCGCCAGCAGATTCCAAAGTTAAGGCCTTATTTCCGAAAGGTTAGAGTATGAAACCGAGAATACAAAGTTGAACATAGTATGCAAGGCAGTATAGGATACAGTGTACAGCAGAGAATATAGAAGAGAGATGATGGATTATGCACCCAACATGTTAATCTAACCATAAGGATTGACGAATATCTCTGAAACTAGACCTGCGGCACAGATAACCAAGCCACCTGAGCTGAAGAGAATAATGGGCCGTCGTGTTTGGCTGAGAGATTCCAAGGAGAGACTTTCCTTTGCTGTCTCTTATCCGCGCCCTTTTATGTATTCTGCACGA